ACATAAAAATATGACCACTAGATGTCACTGTAGAGTGAGGTTTCGAAACGTTTCGAAGCTTCGACACATTTGCTTCGAATGTTTCAGTGTTTCACGAAGCCTCGCTGTGCCCACCACTACTAATACCCCAGTTTGTCACATTTGTCTGAAATGTTCATGAGCGAATGTGAAACTGCCGAACTGCAGTTAAAGTCAGGCATCCTGCTGATTTGATTCAGAAGGGCACAAATTTGTCAGACGGCTCACCGGTCATGTATACATCCGCGCTAAATTATCAAGGTGAAAGTCATCTTAGCTCGCGTAGTATAGACCCAGCTCCCAACCCAACTTTGAGAATAGATTAACGGCAATATTTTTTTTTTTTTTTTTTTATAAATGATGCACGTTAACACCGATAACGGCTCACCACTAATATATTATTAACTATTAACTTTTTTTTTTTTGGTGGGGCCAATAGAAAAAATCCTTAGCATTGAACCCTGACTGCTGTATGTTCTTGCACACTTATTTGACTTTTTGGCAAAAAATAAAATAAAAATGACTGTGATTTCACAATCAGCGGGAGACAGTGTTTTTTGCCCACCAGGGGGGGGTGTTTTATTAATGATTTGATGATGTTGTGGAAAAAAGATTCTGGTCTGCCAAATATTTTTAGGTTTCTAAGCCAAAGTCTTTAAAAAAAAACAAAGTCTGAGATCTCCGAAGTCTTTAGGTAAAGCAGTTTATTGTTACAGCATCAGTAACAACAGAGACAGGTTGTTCCAGTGTCTGATGAGTATTGGCTAGCACACGGTTTAAATACACTTCTTTGTCTTAACACCCAAATTTACACATTAGCACACCTCCATTAGCTTCTCCACTAATAGGATCTCAAATCTCCCAGATGCTCCCTACTTAGGGCCAGTTGAGTCATTTCTTTATCGCCAATAGAAGCTTAGTTTTTTTAGGGATCCTTTCTACCCATAGAGCCCCTATTTTGCATTAAAAATGTCATATTTCGGTTTTAAGGCTGATATGCGTGCAACGTTAAAAACACTTTCATTGTCTTAATATGCATTAACATGCATTTTTTAAAAATGTAATAATCCCAGCGACTCCCATATGAATCATTCAGTGATTCATTTGTTCCCAAACACCTCCTTAGCGCGAAAGTAATCTGCAGTGATTGGTCTGATGACCCAGTGTATTGCGATTGGTCAACTGCGTTCAGCACGAGAGAGAGAAAAACCCACCACGGCTATGAAATAGCAGCCAGAAAATATGTGAGAGCCCAATGCAGGAATGCAATAAATGAATGCAGTTAAAGGCCAGCACATTGCTCGACTCTTAACCTTAACCCCAAGTAATAGCAACACACATTCAGTATTAATCCACTTTAGCAAAAGTTGAACCATTGAAAATTGACCGCGCCACGTGTGAGGAACACCTGATAGTGGCCAAAGCAAAGGCAAACAGCAGAGAGTCGCCAGTTCAGAAACGCATTTAAATCAGTAAAGGAAGAAGCACGCTTCACATTTTTAACATGGTTTTGGACGCGATATGTGAACAGCCCCTGTCACATTACGGGATTGTAATCAAGAACAAAAACGGGAGTAGAATCCAAGTGCAGATTTTAATGATTATTGTTCAGTGAAAGTGACAAAGTAACAAACAAACGAGGAACTCAAACAGACTAAACTAGAACTAGACTTAGACAACTATGACAAGATACAGAGCAAGATCAGGAACACATACCAATAAAGACGACAGCGACCAACAGAGGATGAATGGTTGAAAATATAGTCCAGGTAATCAACGGTGAACGGAGACAGCTGTGGTTGTAAATCAGTGTATATGACAGACCGGCTGTGTGCACGAAAGAATGTATGGAAATGTAGTTCTTAACCACTGTAGTTCGCTGGGAGTTGCTGGCGAACTACAGTGGCATCTGGTGGACAAACACAGTCATGACAGCCCCATACAGATTTAACCTGAGAGATACAGTACAAGCACTGATCTATATTAGATGTGATTACAACTTATAACACACAATTAAACACATATTTTGCAAACTCCACAAAACGAGGCAACAATTTTAAAGACACTTACGTGTTATGATCTGTAGGAAGAGGAAACTGGTCCATATGAGCTGTAGTTACTGACAGAGTCCCATTGTCTCTGCTGCTCCTTCAATAGCAAACGGCCGATGAATCCTGCGTTGCAGCGTAGGTTATTGTATCAGTCATCAGAGAAAAATGGCGGGAACAAACACAACACTAGGTTGGCTGTTCTATTATATTGTTGTGAAAATGAACTTTACCTCTTTTATTCCCCACAGCCATGGCCGGCGAGTCAATACAGGCAACCCAGGCGGTGGCCTAGGATGGCAGAATAGAGAAGGCGGCGTCTGCGACATCTTCCTACTTTCGTCCGCTAAAATCCCCCCCATCGCCCTGATTCTCGCTGTCGTACACGCAATCACACCCACGTCTCTCATTTTCACTTCAAGTTCAGTACATATTTGGTGATCGACGTTGATGCGATCAAACAAAAGATCCGAACCCAACTCGATTCGTTTATTCGACTCAGAGTCAAATATTTCGCTAAAGAGTCAATAGTTTTAAACATGCTGCACTTTTAGATTTAAACCTCAGCTGGATGATTTCATTCACTTATGCCGAGTTCAGACTGCATGATTTTCAAAGTAGTCGTGTCACATATGTTTTCACTCTGCATGACTATCTGGGCTAGCGTTTCATCGCTGCTTTGTTTACACTGCAAGATGGATCGGCGACAGGGACTTTCACATTGCATGACTTTACTATAGGGAGAATCGCCGACAACTTCGTCCAAACTACGTCTCACAGCCAAAAACACGTCGTATATCTTTTGTTATTGACTACATAATGAGAAAGATGGGGTAGAACATGTACATGTTTGCTCACCTGGGTTTAAAGGGAATTAGCCATTTCTCCTCAACGTTGATAATAAACTAATTTCTTTCTGTATGAAACGTCAAACAGACACGGTTGCTCCTGAGTCCTGTCAAACCTCCACTAGTTTTCCCTCCATTTCGTGGGTCCATATAAACCGAAAAAGAGCGCTTTTAACTTCAACCCCAGCCTCCCGCTGGCCTGCAGCAGGTACACACACACGCACACACAAGTGAAAGCTGCTCTCTCATTGGCTGTAGGCGATCGCTGATGTTATTTTCAGTCAAAACTCAATTCACACAGCATGATTTGAATCGCCGACAGCTCCAGATATTCAGCACACCAAATATCTCAGAGGCATCGGCGACTCATCGGCGATTCTCTCAGATCGCGTCTTTGATCGTTCATACTGTGTGATTGTCACTCATGTGCACGAGCAGCGATTTGCCTGTGATTTCAGGCATTTGTCGGCGATTTCTCAAAACCTGTCGGCGAGCCAAAATCGGGCCTAAAATCACACAGTCTGAACTAGGCATTAGAGCTGTGCTACACACTGCACCCATAATAGGGGCTCTTTAGGGTCTTTCTTTGCTACTTCAAATGAGGCAATTCAGCAAAAACAAAGCTCAACAATATATCTTGCTCACTGTACCTTGAGCTGTCAACTGTACATTCAACTGAAGTTCCCGGGCAGTTTTAGGATCATCGTATTTTGGCAGTCATCGCAATTGAGCGTGGGCGCATGTCTGAGAAAGCAGGTGTGAGTCGCACATGAATCAGAACGCAAGTGCCCTTATGACCTTACTTCCATAAAGCTGTTCCCGTTACGTTACTCACAGATCCTGCTCTTTTCATTCTTATCCTGATTCTGGCTGTGTTTGCACACTTCTCATTTCTCATCAGACTACAGTCTGCTTTTACATGGCTTCTTCATAGAAAGTATAAAGGTCGAACAAGCAAAGCATTATAATAATAATAATGCAACTGAAAGTAATGCGATCATCAAAAATGTATCAATACATTTCTCAATAATGACTCGTGAAAACTATCAAAATAATGACTCGATTACTAGCTTTTCTGTAATGTTTAATGATCATTATCTACAGTTGAAAGCAGAAGTTTACACACACTATATAAAAAGGCACATAACCATTTAAAAATATTAGATGTTAATGTGACTAAACTATTTCTCTTTAAGGTAAGTTAGGATTATCACATCTGTTTCTGTTCTGTTTAACAGCAGAATAATGAGAGATATTTTTTGAGAAATTGTTATAACTTTTCTTGAAAGTCAAGTTTACATACAGTAAGGTTATTCTGCCTGTGAAAAAGCTCAGATGAGGATGTCAAGGTTTTGGAGGTTTCTGATTGGCTAATTGACAACATTTGAGTTCATTGGAGGCACAACTGTAAAATAGTTTTTAAGGAAAACCTCAAACGCACTGCTTCCTTGTGTGACAACATGGGAAAATCAACAAGCCAGAATCAACTAAACAGCCAGATTATAATTTGCTAAATGACACTGGGAAAAAGACTCATGTTTGGAGACATGTCCTGTGGTCTGATGGAGCTAAGATTGAACTGTTTGGCCATAATGACCAGAGTTACATGTGAAGGACAAAGGGGAAAGCTTACAAGCCTAGGAACACCATCCCAACTGTGAAGTATGGGGGCGGCAGCATCATGTTGTGGGGCTGTTTTGCTGCAGGAGGGACTGCTCCACTTCACAGCATAGATGGCATCATAAAGAAAGAACAGTATGTAGAAATACTGAAGCAACATCTCAAGACATCAGCCAGGAAATTAAAACTTGGCCACAAATGGCTCTTCCAAACAGACCATGACCTTAAGCATACTAATTGTGCTTAAATTAGTTAAAATGTGCTTTGGGGACAACAGACTGAATGTCTTGGAGTGGCCATCACAAAGCCCTGATCTCAATCCTATAGAAAATTTGGGGGACAGTTGAAAAAGCTTGTGCAAGCAAGACAGACTACAAATCTGACTCAGTTACACCAATCTTTTCAGGAGGAATGGGCCTAAATTCCTTCAAACTATTTTAAGAAGCTTGTGGAAGGATACCCAAAACATTTGACCAAAGTTATATAGTTTTATAGCAAAGCTAAAAAAAATACCAAGGAAATGTGTTTAAACTTTCGACTGTCTAGGAACTAATAAAATTCTCGTATTATTCTGACATTTAGCAAATCATTTAGGTAATTCTAACTAACCTAAAATAGCAAACATTTAGTACCAAATTTATTCTACCAATGATAGAAATGAGGTTACATTTAGGTTGGTTAACAGCAGTAATTTCCACACAAGCCAAATTGAAAAACACATTTACAACAGAATATGGAGCTACTATAATAAACTTGTGCTACAAAGCAATTCTGTATAAAAAGGCACGCACAAAGTTTCATAAGTAGAGAAAAGTAATAGTAATATAATTTCCTGCTCCACAATTTCCTAAATTTTACCATTCATTGATAACTGATAAAATTAATCCATTACACTGTAGAAAACTCTCACAAATGCACCAGGATTAAATATTTCACTAAATAATAATAAAGCAAAAGATAAGCATAACATGACATTTAAATCTCTTAATTTTATATAATTGATCACTCCTAAAAATAAAAATAAAGAAAAAAGGCCAAGGGGCCGCTCACATATCACATTTAAAAGCGTGTGAAAAGCGATTTGCGACCATCAACTGTTATCTCAGAGGATTATAAAACAAGATTTATTCATGGAGAAAATGTAAAAGCACTGTGATGTTTGGGTTTTCTGTGTTTGACTGAGGTAATTAATCTATTGAAATGTGTATATTGCATTCAAAGTATGAATCTGATTGGTCGTTCTTGTCACATGGCTTGCAGTGCACCATTGGAATTTTGAAAAGTGGCGATGCTTTTAACTAGGTGCGCCTGGAATCTGCAAGCAGCACACCTCTATTAGAAATAACGAACTTGCGTATGCAAAGATATGTGAACAGCCCCTAATGCAGGTCGCACATGGGATGCGTCACGACACGGTCCGCACATGACAGTTAGAAGTATCGCACACCAGACGCGCAAATTTGCACGCTATTTAAAATGAAACAAATCAGATAGCGCTCTTTGGGGCGGCAGTAATATAAAGAGTCTCCCGAGTCAAAGCTGGGCACCGCAAACAGCCGCTGACTTGCGGCGCCGGTGTGTGTACCCTGATAGAAACCTTTGTTTAGAATTTTCAAATGCATGACTCGTTGCCGAGCGATGCATCCTGTGTATGATGCCCTTAAGGCTTTTCTAAATAAAGGGCTCAAATAATAAGAGCGATAATAGTAAGATAAGAGCTCTGATTGTCCACTAGAAAACGCAATTAGCTCACTAAACATGGCTAAGACATGTTATGTATAACCCAAAATCAGAAAAGGTTGAGACAGTATAGTGAGGCAGATAAAAATTTTGCGATTTCTAAAATTACGTTGACTTGTATTTCATTGCAGGCAATACAACAAACATAATTTAATGTGTTCTTCATGATTTCTTTTTCATAAACACATATTACAATTTTGGTTCTTGCAACACATTTCAAAAAAAGTTGGAACAGGAGGAACTTAGGGCTGGTAATCAGGTAAATTGGTTAAATATTGATGTGATTTAAAATAGGTGATGTCAACAGGTGATTGTAATTATGATTTGGTACAAAAACGGCATTCAAGAGAGGTCTAGTCCTTTAAGAGCAAAGATGGACAGAGGATCACCAGTTTGACAACAAATACCTGAGAAAATGATTGAAATGTTAAAAAACAATGTTCCTCAAAAGAAAGAGAAGAGGAAATTTGGATATTTCACCTTCAACAGTGCAGAACATCATTAAAAGATTTAAGAAATCTGGAGGAATTTCAGTACGTAAAGGGTGCAAGCCTGAGCTAAACAACTGCAATCTTCGATCCCTCAGGCTGCACTGCATCAAGAATCCTCATTCATCTATAAGCGAGATCACCACATGGACTCAGGACTACTGCGGCAAACCGTTGTCAAGTACCACAATATGTAGTTACATGCACAAATGCCAGTCAAAACTGTACTGGGCCAAAAGGAAGCCCTATGTTAACAGTGTCCAGAAGCGCAGTCAACTTCTCTTGGCTCGGAGGCATCTGGGATGCACAATCACACAGTGGAAACATGTACTGTGGTCTGAAGAATCAGTATTTTTAGGTATTTTTTTGGGAGAAATGTATGCTGTGGACTCTGACCCAAAGAAGAAAATGATCATCCAGACTGTTACCAGCAAGTCCAAAAGCCAGGGTCTGTCATTGTATGGGGTTTTGTCAGTGCCCTTGGCAAAGGTAACCTGCACTTCTGTGATGGCACCATTAGTGCTGAAAAGTACATGGAGATTTTGGAGCAATATGCTGCCTTCTTTTTCAGGGAACTACATTCTGCACACATTACAAAGTCTTGGCTGCAGAGGAAGAGGTTTCAGATACTTGACTGGCCTACCTGCAGTCCCGACCAGTTTCTAATAGAGAATGTGTGGCGCATTTTGAAGAGCAAAATGTTACAATGAAGACCCTGTACCGTAGCCCACCTTAAGACTTGTTTGCAGGAAAAATAGGACAAAATTACAGCTGAAACACTTCATCACTTGGTGTCTTCAGTCCCTAAATGTATTTTAAGTGTTGTTAAAAGGAATAGAAACATTACAAATTGATAAATGCTTTACTGTTCCAACTTTTTTTTTTTAAATGTGTTGCAAGAACCAAAAAAAATCCCTAAAAACACTAAAAATCATGAGGAACACATTAAATAATATTTGTTGTATTGCCTGCAAAAGAAATTGCTTAAACGGAAATGGAAGAACGAACTGAAATGATGTCATGCTTAATGAAATTGCTTTGAGACGGTTTCACCAGTTTGAAACAGCTCACAACTTTTTGGTCGAGATTGTTTTGGCTCCTAAACACATTTGGGCTGCCATTGGTCCATGTCAATCACGTAATTGGTGTGGGTGTCTGGAACTCCTCCTTCTTTGACATGTGATTAAACTCCAGATAGATTGACGGATCGACTCATATAACCAAACTTTTAACTGTTCAGCTCTGCTCTAAAGTTCCATTCATGCGTTACGAGACATGACCGTATGAGCGTCAATGATATCCATGACTTCTGCCGTGGTAAGAAATCATATATAAGCTTGTTCAACAGCAGAAATCGCACTGTGTGTACTCCTGGCTTAAAGATGGTGCCATTTGTGCTTTTGTAGTGTAGCTTGTACATGTTTTCCCCCATCGATAGAAGATGTCTTGAAACTGTTTCTGCTTGCATGGTTGTGGTTTGTTCTTTGTGAGAGGAATTTATGAGCTGAGCAGGACCTAAGCTCTGATCCTTCTTAGAAAATGTCAAATAAAGTTTGGGATGTTGTCACTTTGAATTTGTGAGGTGTGTGCAGAACCAGCCAAACTGTCGATTTGATCTGGAATGGGTTGGTTCCGTTTCCGGAGGTGAACAGATACAGTGGAAGAAATGAACTGAACACGGAGACTAGAGAGCCTAATTTAACCCAATGTTTGAAGTTGTGGAGGTGAAACTCTTCAGATGCTGATCACATGTGAACGCTTTCTCTCCATTTTGCAGAGTTTGTAACTGATTGAAGCTCTTGTTGCAATGTGAACACTAGTTAGGTTTCTCTCCAGTGTGAATCGCCTCATGTTTTTTCAGATGCCATGCCTGGCTGAATCTCTTGTTGCACTGGAAACACATGTAAGGTTTCTCTCCGGTGTGAATCCTCTCGTGTTTTTTCAGGTTTTCTGATCGACCGAATCTCTTGTCGCAGTGTGAGCACTTGTACGGTTTCTCTCCGGTGTGAATCCTCTCATGTCTTTTCAGGCTTTCTGATCGACTGAATCTCTTGTCGCAGTGTGAGCACTTGTACGGTTTCTCTCCGGTGTGAATCCTCTCATGTCTTTTCAGTTGTCCTAACCTACCGAATGTCTTCTTGCACTGGAAACACATGTAAGGTCTCTCTCCAGTGTGAATCCTCTCATGTAATTTCAGGCTTTCTAAGTGACTGAATCTCTTGTCGCAGTGTGAACACTTGAACGGTTTCTCTCCAGTGTGAATCCTCTTGTGTATTTTCAGGCTTCCTAATCGTCTGAATCTCTTTCCACAGAGTAAACATTTGTGAGGTTTTTCTCCAGTGTGAACTTTCTCATGCGATTTCAAGCTTACCAACCAACTAAATCTCTTTCCACACTGCAAACACTTGTGAGGTTTTTCTCCAGTGTGAACCTTCTCATGAATTTTCAAGCTTACCGACCAACTAAATCTCTTTCCACACTGCAAACACTTGTAAGGTTTCTCTCCAGTGTGAATCTTCTCATGTGATTTCAGTGAACTTAACTGACTGAATCTCTTATCACAGTGTGAACACATGTACGGTTTCTCTCCGGTGTGAATTCTCTCATGCGCTTTCAAGGTGTTTGGCAGTTTGAATCTCTTGTCACAGTGTTGACACGTGTAAGGTTTCTCTTCAGTGTGAGTCTTCTTGTGCAGTTTTAAGGCTATAGCTGTAATAAAGGTCTTCTCGCACTCAAAGCACATGAACTCTCTCACTCCAGTGTGGGTCTTCTCATGAAGTCTTAAAGTGTGGAGGTGTTTAAAACTCTTTTGACACACAGAGCATGAATAGGATTTCTCCTTTGTATGAACTCTAAGGTGAATCTTCAGTTCTGAAGCCCTCAAAAAGGCTTTCCCACATTGATCACATTCGTGTGTTTTCTCTCCATTGTGGATGATCATGTGTCTATTACGGGTTGAGGCTTGACTGAAACTCTTCCCACATTGAGAACATGTGAACGGTTTCTCTCCAGTGTGGATCCTCATGTGCATCTCCAGATTCTGTTTGCAATTCAGACTCGAGCCACACTGAGTGCAGGTGAATGGTGTCTCTCCGGTGTGGGTCCTCTTGTGTTTATTAAGAGATAATAAGTATCTGAAACTCTCCCCACACTCAGAACATGTGAATGGTTTCTCTCCAGTGTGGATCCTCATGTGATAATTCAGAGTTTTTTTGCATGACAGACTCTTTCCACACTGAGCGCAGGTGAAATCTGAGCGTTTCTCTGTTTTCTTCAGTGGCTTTTTTTCTTTGATTAGAGTTTTCCCTCTCTTTTTCACATGTTGGCGTGTCTCCTTCATTAGGCCTGAAATAAAGAAGGCGACAGCATTTAAAGACTTCGATCTCTGATTGAACTTGCACACAAACTGCACTGAAACAACTCTATCCTACAAAGTGTACAAACAAAATGATAACAGAGATCAGACAAGCTGATGGCGGAAAACAGATGCATAGAGAATGAGAGAGAGGGAGAGATGTTAATTCTGTCAGCAGCAAAGGCAACAGCAGCACCACCACAAGGGTATAGCTAAACCCTTGTGCAGAGTTACTGAAGTTTGTCCTGCGCGCTTGCGGTTTTTTTAGTTACTTCTTTGGTTTGGTGCGTTAATCTTATCGTTACTATTATTCAAAAGAAGGTAATGATTCGCACTCAATTGCTTTGTACTGTTTTTATTTTTACTTTTTCTTACATTTTACGGGTGATAACAGACAAACAGACGTTTCGGCACAAAGCATTCCTCTGAGGAAGGTTTGTCTGTTATCACTCGTAAAATGTAAGAAAAAGTAAAAATAAAAACAGTACGAAGCAATTGAGTGCGAATCATTACCTTCTTTTGAAATATAGCTAAACCCTTACCTAACGTTTCTTTGATCGTTATTGGGATGTTTGTTGCAAGGCAACCTTAGGTATCTAGAAAGGCACCATTAACAAAATACAATCAGGGCTAGTCATTAACACCCGCAAAATGCTGGAAGATTTTAGCTGTGGCGGGTTAGACAGCCACCATCACTAGCCACTTTGGCTGGTTAAAAATACTTTTCAAATTGTAGTTTTCCTAAAAGCAGAATTAAACAATAAGGATGACCCAATATCCGTGCAAATGCGATCTTAGTATCGAGAAGCAACAAATTAAAAAAATAATTGTGTCTGCGCGAGCAAAAGAAAGCAGGTGAATACCGAATGAGAGGATGATCACTCGTGCCAATAGCTGATGTGGTGCGCGCTCCCGTTTCCTTGCGTGAAGCAACTGTGCCTGGAAAGGCAACTGGTGTGATCGGTTCTCTTTCAAATAGACTAGACAAAACATTATGCTCATGCACCCGGCAGTCTTTCAAGAGCGCCAGTACTGGTTGCTTTCGCTTTGACCATTCTTTGAACAGATTATTAATTGGCCTAACGTTAACCGTGTGTATGTGATCAACCGATTGCATGTAGTTTCTTTAGTTGACATTACTTAAAACGGTGGATTAAAACAATGTTGAGACTAGCATTTAAGATGTTAACTGAACATGGAATAACAGTACTAGCTAAATAGAGTTAATAGAATAATCTTAGTGTAAAACCGTAAGTAAGGTAAGTAAATATTCAAGAGTATGTGAACTTGAATTATATATTAAAGTAACTTGATTTTTGCTAGTTAGTTTACTTTGGAAGCTTTAGGTTTCTTACTTTAAGGCAATAACTGACTTACAGTTGAAGTCAGAATTATTAGCCCCCCTTTGATTTTTATTTTCTCTTTTAAATATTTCCAAAATTATGTTTAATTGAGCAAGGAAATTTTCACAGTATGCCTGATAATATTTTTTCTTCTGGAGAAAGTCTTATTTGTTTTGGCTAAATTAAAAGCAGTTTTTAATTTTTTAACACCATTTTAAGAACAAAATTATTAGCCCCTTTAGGCTATTTTTTGCCGATAGAACATATTGATGGTTTGTTCTGTAGACTATACGCTGTATAGAAGTGTTTTGAAGAATATCTAGTAAAATATTATTTACTGTCATCATGGCAAAGATAAAATAAATCAGTTATTAGAAATGAGTTATTAAAACTATTATGTTTTGAAATGTGCTGAGAAAAATCTGCTCTCCGTTAAACAGAAATTGGGGAAACAAATAAACAGAGGGGCTAATAATGTAACTTCAGATTTCCTTGTAAGTTTATATTGCAAAAAATACGCAATTTGTTTTTAAAACCTTTAAGTAAACTGAACTTGATAGAATTTCATGTTTATTTATTCAGCAACAGCTCCCTATATTTTTTTTTTACCATGGTACTTTGAATTTTCAGACTGAAAATATACTGTACAGGCCCCTAGCCAGGGGGGCTTCAGGTGGTTTGAAAGACCCACCCCTCACTGACACAGAACCAGAATTTGTCCCATACATGAGCTCATTTGCCCTATTTTTACTTTTATGCCATCATAAGTTGTGAAAATGACGCATTGAAAATGCCATAAGATCAAGTGGAATCCTCTGTTGACTGTCGCTTCGTGTGACTTCAGATAAGACCAAAGCAAACAATTATTTTTCATGAGTCGAACATCCAGCTGTGCAAGAATCTGACATAAGTTTTAATTTGATTTGATAATTTTTTTCTTATTTTCAAACAGAAATATCATACAAATTCTTCAACAAAAAATAATTTTCAGTCGAAAATGGAGCGGGATGATTATTTTCACACCCCATTACTACACACATCATTCGTCTATTTTACTTATTAAACTTATTACTTCTTTTACTTATCTCTTATTTTTACATGAGACATTGGAGCTCTGCATGAAACATCCTTTTGGCATTTTTGACATATGTTTGATTCCATTTATACATTTACATTTTATAACATAGACCCAAAAAAAAAAAAATACATAGTACTGCAAAAAGCCATTCATTTCATCATACCTTTCTCATTTTATCCTTTTTCAATCACCTTCATCATTATATTCCTTTAATAAAATTCATAATTTTTAATAATATTATAATTTATTAAACTTTTTAAATTGATTAATATCCTGAAACTGTTTGAGAGTCTGATCTAGACTGTTCCATGATTTCACACAACATTTTTGTTCTTCTCTCAGATTATATCCCCTTGTCTTTCTTCAAAAAATTTTGTATGCATTTCGGAAGTATTTTATTTCTAGTTTTAAACCTTGTGCTGTTTTAAATGTAACTAAATCATTGAACTTGAGTATTTTGTATGCTCCAAATACCCACATTTTCGAATGACTTTTTTCCGAATTGTACCTAAAGATCGTAAATTAAATTTATATGTATTCCCCCAAATTTCAACACAATAACTTGTATATGGCAACATAAGTGTGTTATATAATACATTGATTTATTGTCCAGGATAAATCTTGCTTCATACACTATTGCTACAGTTTTGACTAATTTTGATATCACATTATTTTTGTGTAAAGTCATCTTTCACTATTGACCTACTGTATTGTTTTTAAATAGAGAAAACGTTTTACAAGTAACGTTTTATCTAAATCCTGGACCTTATTCTTGAAACAAAACAAAAAAAGAACAATAAAAGCAGCCTGTAGTAAAACTGAATTTATATAATTGGGCTAATGTACTTTTTTGAGCACAAGAGAGGCTAGAAAAACCATCACGCTCTACATTATTATTATTATCATTATTATTATTGTTGTTTCAGGCGGTTCATTCTGCTGTAGTGACCCAGGATTAATAAAGGGACAAAGCCAAAAAGAAAATGAATGAATGTATTAATTTTTATTATTCAAAGGGTCAAATTCTGACTGAAGAAATTTGAGTGTGCTGGCCAGTTTGTGATTTGCCTAATACATAACAATAGATACATTTTATTTTAATTTAAAACTTTGACAGAATCTTTTTTTTTCTTACGATGTTAAAAAATGTGTTTTTTAAAAATAAGTAATTATTGGAGCAATTCCAATGTTATGGATGTGACATTTGCAGTAGGGCTGCTGCACGATTCTGGCTAAAATGTGAATCACGATTTTTATTTGTTTTTTTTTTTGCTTAGAATCGAGTTCACGATTTTCTCACAATTCCGTAAACGTAAAATAAAGGTTAATATGTTTAGCCTATTATTATTGTTAATTCTCAAATATGGTAAAACAACACTAATATTATTAGGCCTATGTGTAGGTTTACTGTTGGTTAAAGTGCAAAATTTTGTTTAGGACCAATTCCAGTGTTATGGATGAGACATTTGCAGTAAAAACCCTATATACATTCACGGAGAAGGTATATGCTAACATTATATTGAAACATCTGTTTAAATTTTCCAGAACAACTGACCACAGAGTTATGGAACCAGAAATATATCAATCTGTAAACATATTTTGTACTTTAAATTAAGAAAATAAACATCAGTTATGGATGTGACCTAAAAAGTTTACAGTCTACAACATACTTTGTGGAAATTCTGTGAATTAAATTGCACAACTCAAAATAAATAATGATAATCAAAAGGATAAAAGGCACTTACTACAGAACAAAAATGATTGATGTTATTTTATTTAATATTTATGCATTTTTTAGTCATTATGGATGTAAACGATGTGAAATTGCCACTTGTGTGACTTTGGTAAATTAAATTTAATTGTTTAAAAACATTGACAACGACATTGAGTATTTCTAAAATACTGTAAAATAATTGCTTGCACAAGAAACTTGAAACGTTTTCCATATTTTGGTGAAAACTTTTTTTTTTCATGGTGTGGTTGACATTTGCATGGAATTGCTCATTCATATTTATTCTTTAGGAAATATTTTTGGTACATCAAACGTGTGGTTATGATAACCACCCAACAAGCATATCCAGCTAAAAGAAGTGCTTAAAATGTCACTAAATGCAGTATTTAATAATAATTATTATTAAATATTTAAGTAGAAAATGAGGCAAACAACTCCAAAAAGGTCTACTTTTTGAGAAAAAAGAACCATCGCTTTCACTGTATATTTCGCTGTACGACTTCAAAACAAACATTAGCACTATTCAATTGACTGAACAATGTTGTACTTAGATAGTCATTGGCCACTAATATGATTTCACTAATTAGAACTTACAATGAATATGAGCAATTCCGTGCAAATGTCAACCTTGCCATGAAAAAAAAGTTTTCACCAAAATACGGAA